AGGAAAGATATAACATCGTAGTAACCTGATTTTTATGGGCATTGATAAATCATGACATTTGAATAACTTGGCCATTTTTTGAAATGCAGATCTTGCTTTCTCTATTCTACATTTGATTTCTATGGAATGGTCCCAATTTTCATTGACGTTCGTACCAAGGTAGGTGTATGTTTTTACTCTTTCTATTTGTTGACCGTTTACACTGATTTGTTCAAATTGCTGTTCCTTCTTAGAGATCATCATGCATTTTGTTTTCTTGGTGTTTAGTGAAAGTCCGTATCTCTGACTGACCTCTGTGATTCTGTTCATTAACTCCTGGAGGGCTTCAGAGCTGTCAGCAAATACTACCGTGTCGTCCGCGTATCTAATGTTATTGATTAATTCTCCGTTGATTCGAATTCCGGCTTCAACATCACCCACTGCTTCTTGAAAGATTTCCTCAGAGTATATATTAAACAGCAGTGGTGATAGTATACATCCTGACGGACGCCACGTTTGATTTTGATGTCGTCGGATTCTCCTGCCTCTGTCCGGATAGATGATGTTTGATTCCAGTACAGATTGCTGACAATTCTTAAATCACAAGTGTTTATTCCAATATTGGTTAGTATCTCCATCAGCTTGTCGTGCTTTACTGTATCGAACGCTTTATGGTAGTCAATGAAGCACGCATAAATGTCGCAGTTCACGTCTCTACATCGTTGGAATAGCACTTGTATACTAAAGAGAGCCTCTCTCGTACCCACTGCATTCCGAAAACCAAACTGTGTACGGCTGATTTTTTCTTCGCACAGTCTATATATCCTTTGATGTATGATTTTTAGAAATAATTTTAAAATATGACTCATTAAGCTGATGGTTCGGAAATCACTGCAGGATACGGATTTTGTTTTCTTTGGTAAAGTAATAAAGGTCGACTTAAGCCATGTTCTTGGTATTACTCCGCTTAAGTATATATCATTAAATACCTTTGTTAGGTGTTGAATACCGTCGGTGTTAAATAGTTAGGTGTATGTCGAAGACATACACCAAGGTTATTTACAACAGAATAAGCAAAAAATGCGAGGACAACATTGGAGATTCGCAGTTTGGGCTTCGGAATTCTTTTGGGACAACAGAAGCACATTCGATAACGTAAAGCACGAAAAGATAATTGAAGTTCTCCATAAGCTCGGACTCGACTACAGAGACATTCGAACAATAGCGAGTCTCTATTGGGGTCAAACAGCTAAAGTGAAAGTAGGATCTAATTGACCAATAAAATTGAGATCAAGAAATGGGTACGACAGGGCTGTATCTGTCTATATTATTCTCTAATATATACTCCTATTCTCTGTAATATATACTCAGAAGAAGTATTGAATACAGCGCTGGAGGGAAGTACAGAAAGCATAAAATGGAGAAAAATGGAGAAATAATTAATAACATAAGGTATGCTGATGACACTGTGATTCTAGCAAGTAGCATGGAGGAACTGAGTTGCCTAAAGATACAAAAAACAAGTGCACAATACGGACTCAGACTAAATATCACAACAACCAAATGAATGTTAGTAAGCAAAACCCAACAACCACCACAGCAACTGATATTAGACAATGAAAGAATTGTGAGTGAACACGTGGATTCGTACATCTACTTGGGAACAACAGTTAACTCAAATTGGGATCAAGCGAAGGAAAGACGTATAAGAGTAAAAAAGGCAAGAGCATCGTTCACTAGCATGAAGCAAATTTTCACCTCTAAAAGCCTCACCCTACCTCTCAAAATTCGACTTCTGAAATTTTATGTTTCCCGGTTTTGTTATATGGAATGGAGGCGTGGACAATGACCGCAACATTGATGAAAAAAACTAGAGGCCTTCGAAATGTGGGCTTACCGACGTATATTACGTATATCCTATCTGAGCACGTGACCAACGAAGAGGTACTACGCCGGATAGGTAAAGAGAGAGGTAGGAATAAGTATAAAGAAAAGAAAGTTGGAATACTTGGGTCACGTTATGAGACATAATAAATATGGAGTACTACAGCTGATCGTTCAAGGGAAAATAGACAGCAGAAGGGGTCCAGGGAGGAGAAGACACTCGTAGCTCCAAAACTTGCGGCATTGGTTAGGATTGTCATCTGCTGAACTATTCAGATCTGCCGTAAGCAAAGTCAGAATAGCCATGTTGATTGACAACGTTCGGAACGGACACGGCACATGAAGAAGAAGAACCAAAACAGTCGTGGAACGTACCAAGTACAAAAAATTGGTTATTTAAAAATAATATCAATTTTCCGGAATACGCCATCAAATAAGAGTTACTAGAAACTTCGAAACGTAATGAAAAACCAACAGTTTATATAGTTGACCAAATTGTATCAAGTTATGGACGTCCAGTACTACGGTTACCGCCGTATCACTGCCAGTTTAATCCGATCGAACACATCTGGGTATATGTAAAACGTATGACGATGCGGTTCAGTGAATACAGTGACGATGCGGTTAGGGAAATGTGACAAGAAGCTCTTAAAACTGCAACTCCAGAAATATGGGCCAAAACTGTAAATATTCTTTTGTAAAAAATTAATAGAAGAGTGTACACTATTATATTGTTATTTACAAAATAATTGTACAGCAGGTTAACAATTATTTATAAATTCATTATTAGACAAATAAACAGTAATATTTAAAATTCCATTTGAATTTTTGCTCCTCATTTTATACAAATTAACTCTAACTGATAATACAGGCAAAAATATTCTAAACAAAGTAGGTAATTAAAAGATTATGGAGAACTCAAGTGCAGTTTACCGTGCCTTTTACTATAACGAAAGGTTTTCTGCGAATTCCATTAATCGTTTAGAAGTGTTAGTTGGTTAAATGTACTGTAGTACTCAACCCGACCTGCGTTACATTTGTGATTGTTAAGTTAACCAATAAATTAAAAAAGACAATCTGTCTTTTTTTTTGAAAAGCGAAACATGGACAACCAGCTGGTCTAACGTAGCGGGAGATCGACGCCACATGGCGATCCTGCTATGCTAACAGGGATAATATTTTGTACTCGCTTCGGCGGTACATATACTAAAATTGGAACGATACAGAGAAGATTAGCATGGGCCCTGCGCAAGGATGACACGCAAAATCTTGAAGTGTTCCACATTTTTAGCGACATGGAAAGATCAATGGAATCTTTACTGCCTTACAAACCAAACAAGATACACCACTTTACAACCAGTTATTCCACAAACTACTTGGTTTAAGAATTTTAAATCTCCACGTAAATATATAACCACCATAAATAGACTACGCTTTGGACATGCGTGTTATCCAAGTCATTTATATAAAATAAATGTGATTGAAGATGATAACTGCAAACATTACGGAAAACTGGGTGATCTTGATCACATCTTTTTTGGATGCCCAAGTTTCAACAGCATTCAAACTCTCTCTACAAAAAATTAATCGAATTTAATATGTATGCACCATTCAATATTCAGTCGCTACTGGCGACAGGCTCACAAAATATTTATAATATCATTATAGATTTCTTGTCAGACACATGCATGGTTCTATAGAATTTGTACTCGAGCATGAAATTTTTCATGATCGTGTGGAAATTTAGATTTGTATCCTTTGTTTACCCTAAATGTTATAACACCTTATCCGTGGTCCAGTTTTGTTTGTCTACTAAGAATGTCTTGATGGGCCCCTAGACGAGAAGCAAGTGACCCTGTATGTTTCGTTGTCGTATATTCTTCTATTAATTATCCGTTAGTTTTCGATTAGGGATAGAGTTGTGCATTTGTCTGATTGATTGTCTGATTGTCTTTTGAAAAAAAAAAGACACGGAATAATATTCATAACACTCGTGGTTATTTCAAACGCATTCCGCAATATGTTAGACATCGTAATTTTTTTACCATAATTATCACAGCAACATATTTCTTTTTATTAATTTGATAGACACAACAACTTAAAAATTACAACAACGTTTACAATTAAGTATTAAAACAAGTAAGATATAATAATGAATAAAACGTTAACATTATTGATAACATGTTTTTATACAAACCATTAAATGAGTTTATCTAACAATAAATAAAGAAATAATAAAATACTTCCTTCCTAAAATTCCTTCACTTTTAATGGCTAAGATTAAAGCCAAAAAACTTTTTTAAATAAATACGTGTATAACCTTTACCAGGCGTTCGAAACAACAACAAATGTATTGACATCAAAAACGATAAATTTAAATTAAATAATAATAAAAATGAGTAGTTCACAACTTAACGTTCCAAATTTTGAATTGAGGAATAACTAACTACTACTTTAGTCGAGTAGATTTAGTCGTAATTTAGTCGAGTCGCTTCATTTTATTCTATATTTTTCCTCAGAAAAGAGACCTCATGTGTTCTAAGATTCACAAAATCAAACACTGCTTACTGATGCACATTTACTACGCTCATCAACCAATATTGACTAATATTCGGTAATGCCTGTTCAGTTCAGAAAGTCTTCTACGGCGGATCAGCTGCTTAGACGGTTAAATAGGATATTAACAAATGTTAGTCAATCAATTCAGTCTTTCCAGTCTCTCTACGGAAGGTCAAATTTTAGCAAAAATCTTCAAAGCAAGTTGAGCATGGACATCAATTTCTTTGGCGAGGAAAAAGATAAGGATTACTTACATACCGAAGATCGGCAGGATAATGGACCGAACACTCAAATCATACTGGTATTTAAACCTATCCTCCTTTCACCTACCTGTTCACTGTTGATCGTTTTAATAAAAAAACTTTAATAAATCCGTATTCTGTTTTAAACTAGTTATACCTTAACATCGGATGAAGCTACTGCGTGTTGAAACATATCGCATATTAGTATACAGTGGAAATCTTTCAAAAGTGTAATTTTTTTATAATATATTTGCAACTTAAATATAAGAATGTGAAACTCTTTTGAGCATCTGGAACAGTGGAACAGAACAGTGCCATATCTGAAATATTTATTACCTAGGTGTCTCATTAAATAGTCCATCATCCTTGTCAGTATGACTAGCAATTTTCTGTGTCCATTCATTCATAACATTATAAAACTTTTCGCCAGGTACAGAGATATTTGTATTATCAGGATCTAACATGCGTTTTAAATTATCTAAAGCTGAACTAAAATAAATACAAGAAATAATAATCGACGCACTTATATTAAAACCTCTGCCACTACAATTCTGGAATTGTGCATCTCAAAATACCGATCTAAGAGATTTTTGTTCAATTTGGAATTAAAATAAATTAGTATTAAATTGTGAAACTGCTAAATAATTTCTTATTGGTTTTTGGTAGCTATTTTGAATATCTTCGTTGCACTTTTAAAACATGATAAACATTATAAATAAGTTTATACTCTTTTTGAAAAGAGCTGTAATAGCTGTACAAGCCTAAAGAACCCATTTTATTTTATTTGAATTTAGCAAAAATCACTTTTTGCTGATCCCTTTTACCCTGAGACTCATAGATTATGTTCTTTGCATTTACAAATATCACCATCATATCAACGAGAAGATATCACAGGTTCTTGCAAAACCTGAGTTGTGAGTTGATCAAACCTCAAATAGAACGAAGAAGGCCTCTAAATCCAAACATTTCAAGGCAACTATGACAAAGTGCAAAACTGCTGCTTGGTATTGAGGAAGATGAGGAGCCAGTCGAAGCTAGAACCGGATCCCGAAGACGATGTTATGTATGCAGAAGGGTTCGGGATAAAACTACCAGAAAATTCTATCCAAATGTCGAAAATGGGTTTGTCATGACCATTTGAAAGAAATCTGTATAAACTGCTGCTTGGTATTGAGGAAGATGAGCAGCTAGCAGAAGCTAGTACCCGATCCCGAAGAAGACGTTATGTATGTGGAAAGGTTCGAGATAAAATCACTAGAAATTCTGTTCTAAATGTGAAAAATGGGAAAACATTTTTTGTTTTATCTTGATAAATACACTGTACTAATTATATTTCCATAAAAAATAAACTAAAAGTAAAAACAAATGGCAAATAAAAATGGGCGACATTTGTCTCCCACGCCACTAAATATGTCATTCTTAAGGCCGGTTTTCACGCTACATTTTATTGTACGTTTTGTTGGATAGGACAAGTGGTAGGAATACTGATGTACTATTCGAAGGAAAAATGGAATCTCTTAATGCGAACTGCAAGTTGAAAGTTACAGGACAGGGAGAAATACAGTCATTAACATCATCTGTGGGAGAAACATAATCTGGTTCGCCTCTTAGTTCTTTTAGTAACGAGTCGTGGGAATACTGGCTTCTTTTCAGAAGCCACTCTTTTGACCATCTTGTCTTTTCTCTGTTCATCCCCTTTTTCCTCTGTCGTAGTATAGTTATAGTTGAAAAAATAAAAGAAAGCAGCAGTTTTTCCTCCATAATATAAAAATCACTAAACAAACGGCACACAACTCAAGACTCTAAATAAGAAATGAGGTAGAAAACGGAAGGGAAAACGTAGTGTGTATACACTGGACACAACGTACATTTTGTCGTACGTTTTATATGTCCGACAAAACGTATAAGAAAACGTAGCGTGAAAACTGGCCTTTAGTCATGCCAGTAACGGAGGGTTAAAGAATGGATGATAGACGATTTCCGCGCAAATAATACAATGGGTACCAGTTGTAAAAGGAACATAGGAAGACAAAAACAGATATGGTTAGGAGGCCTTCAAAGAGCAATGTCGTAGAGGAATTTTCGGACTGGAGATTGGAATGAAAGGCGAGAATGAAAACCACGAACGGCAAGGCGTAAGACGCTATGAAAACTGGATGAAAAAAAAAAGCAGGTCCAATGTTTCTCTAGGTAATTCGTTTTGGGTCTTTAAACTATTGATCCATTTGGATTAGAATCTTCAGTATTTTGTTCTGTTGCTTCTTATTATCTAATATAAATTAGATAACTACTAAAATTAAAACCACCTTATAATCATCGTATCATCAATATGATCATATAATATTTATTAACCCACATTCCTCTTATAGAAATTAAAAAAGTCGATTTGCAAGGACAGCAAGAGTATCTGCAATAAATTAAAATTCCTCAAACATTATTGTTTAAAAGACATACGAAGAAATACGGTCTTGCCAAATCCAACTCTTATGCTAATGTCAGCTGTTTTTGGTTTTACTATTCACATAAATAATCACATTCCTCCAAATCACTAATATAAATATTTAAATTAGAATCAAGAATGTGTAAAGAAGTTCATTCAATAGATTACATCATCGTGAGGCACAGAAATAGTTTATGCAGATATTTTTATTACCTGGGTATATTTACCACCTGTGTAATACATGATAATTTATGCTGTAGGTTATGGCAACTATATGCACTCTTAAACAAGTTTTTTAACATGTCCGCTGAACTTCTTTGGTGAAAATGTATTTAAAAACACTTTTATGAATGTATCATGGGCATGTGGTAAAGCCATAGTTGGAAAAATGAATAATTTATTATAATAACTAATCAATATGATCAGAAAAACAGGATACAATTTAATTAGTATGCTAAGCATTTTAGATCTTCACATCCATTCGCGAGTGCAACACATGTAGTTATATTATTTTTCAGTTTTCCCCGTATCTTGCTGTTTTCATTATCTTCTATTGTTTTCTTTCTGTCAAAATACTTCTGCTGCGTTGGAAATTTTAAATCAGTATTTTCTTCCGGCTAAAGTATAGTTTATAGTATAGGCTATACTGTTATACTATCTATTTTACTTTGCAGCAGAGATTTGGCTCAGATTCAGAATATAGTGAACCTCTCAACGAGTGGCTTAACACTCCGATCAACGACGTCTAAATAATATAAGACCACACGACGGTGGTCTATTGGGCCACAAATAAGGTTATATTTACTTTCTTCTAGAAACGAAAAGAAAAATTATTATTTTTGAAACAGAATATGTTTATTTGTACTTATAGGGTATTTTCTTCCATCTGATGGAAATATTTTGTTTGTTTATGCCTACCTTGTATTAAAGTAGATCAAAAGTAAGTGAAATATTTGACATAATAATTTTTACAGCTTACCACAAACAAAAAAATCAAATTGTTCTATTTTGCAAAAATTGATCAAAATAATAATGAAACTGTATTAAAAAATACGAAGAGTTCAACAAAATTCTATGACACATAAAATACAGAAAAATTAATCACGCGGACAGTGGCAAATACTTTGATACCATATCTTTTAGGTTTGTTTGGAATGTACCTATATGCGGAAGCTACACCTTGACTGTTTGACAAACATTGACTGTTTTTTACAAATGTTTCAAACATCTCTCACATCGAACCTAGATTTGATTTTGAGTCTTTCGTCTATGGTTTGTTTATTATCAAAACGTATTACTTTTAACAAAAATCTAAATCGTCTTTGTGCCATGGTCGCTACAAATATTTCTGATAACATACCATCGTCTGCCTAAAAATTCTTCTAATTTTTTTCGAGAGCCGTGATCCAAATCTGCAAACAGATGTAAGTTTGACGTCGTTTTAATTTTTGTATCTTCCAGATATCTCTCCTAATATAAATATTGGTGTATTCTACTACAAGTTTAATAATACTTTGCATTAGAAGATCCCATGATTCAATGGGACTCATTACGTTTTTGACTCAAGTGAGAAACTATATTCTCTATTGTCGTGTGCAAATATTTGAAGGTTGTGCAAATTTCTTCCGTTTAGTTCCATCCTTCGCATAATAATATAATCTCCTGTCAGTTTGTTCTTCATTAATTGTTTGTTGTTCAATCGTTGGTACTGCTTCCGGGATATCCTCTTGCTCAGATTCCGTGTCATGATCGCTAAACTCTTCTCTATCATCGTCGGCAATAGAACTATCGGAATAATTTTCTACATCCGAAGTTACTCCTTCATATAAAGTAGTTAGACGTTGAATTTCTGTTTCATAAAGATCCATCAATGAAATAATTGTCCTAATTTTCAATATCAAAAATTAATAAAAGACCTACTAACCTTAAAAACAGGATACCTACGCAAATTAATGAATAGAATAATTATTAACTGCTACGTATAATAGTTCTAGCGAAATCACTTTATTATCAGACGTACTTCACACGAAATCAAAATAACAACTGAGACATATCGGATATCCGATATCCCAAGAATTTCATTGCATATTCTCGATCGGGGAAACCCAGCCCAATGAATACCATCCATGGACGTATAAACAATTATACGACCATGATACCATCTGTATAATCAAAATAAACATAAACATAAACCTGTAATCAAAATCCAATGGCATGTTTTGCTGTAGCTGTTGAAATATTATATCAACATATTTTGTTTCTAATTTAATTGCCACTCTGACAAAGGTGCCGCTATGGGGCGATATAGACTGGTTTAATAACGCCGTTGTGCTAAAAGCGCATAGTAAGCTGTCGTGTGGTCATGTAAGTTTTAGAAATACATTTCTCAACAATTGAAATATTATGAAAATGTGTATGTATTTTATTTTTTGTTCATAAGGTCAAATAGAAAAATGGAGTGATATAATAAGATTTATTTTTACTTCGTATTTTCATACAGATGAACCGAAAGAAAGAAATTCTTTAAGAAAAAAATAGAAAATGAACAAAAATTGTAAAATTAACAACCTAAAATTTCTATTCTTGCTCAATTTCTAATATCTCGAAAAGAAAAATTAATAGTGTGTGGGTCCACATCTGTGTCGCCTTAGTGCTCTAGCTCTATTTGGAAGACCTCTTATTAAATTATTGATGAACTGTTGCGGTATACGTTCCCAAATTGTGCTTAATGTATTGGCCAACTGATCTAAGGTTTGGGGCGGTTGAAGGAGCCTGTTTTGTTGCCTAGACATTTCGGTCCAAACATGTTCAATGGAATTCATATCAGGTGAACACGGTGGCCACTCCATTCTTGTAATGCCATGAGCTTCTATACACTCGTTGACAATTCTCGCACGGTAAGGGCGAGCATTATAATCAATCAGAACAAATTGTTCGCCTATTGTACCAAAAAATGGAACAACTATTGGTACTATGACTCTGTCTCGATATCGTGTAGCAGTCATTGTCTCATTAAATAGTCGGTGCGACCGTCAACACATATGCCTCC